GGCTGAGGCAGAAGAATCCCAGTTGGAGGTCAATCTCTGTAATTTAGCAAAATCCCATCTCAAAATTAAAGAAAGAAAGAAAGGAAAGAAAAACAAAAAAGGTCTAATGCTAACATTTTGTCCAAAGAGGATAAAAAAGAAGAAAAAATAATAAATTTGAACAAGGAACTTATAATTCGATGGGATTTTACCAAAGAAAATGATGCCACAATCATTTGCACAAAACCCTTTCAGTACTCTATGTGCTGCTCTCACAGAGCTCAATGTGCATAACTAAACAAAATCCGTGGGAGGCAAGAACATGTGTTTCTAATGTCTTCTTACAAATATTCACAAGAAACAACAGTTTCATTCCACACACTCACTGTATCTTCTACACTACAAGTAGAGCTTCCTGCTCAGAGAACTAATTTTCTTAATGGTTTGTGCTTGCTTAGGATTTCTAAAAACTTTCATGTTTTCCAGACTGTTCTGCATGTCCATGTGTAACATATGTAGACTAGTGAACATTATCCTCATTGTGCTTGCCCTTTCCTTCTCTGTTCTCCTTTTCTGCAAATTCTACTTTCATGAAGTCAAAGATGTACAAAAACATACATTAACCTCATGAAAAAAAATAGTGGAAATTAACACACTTCAAAATAAGTATTATCAAACAAGGTCATACTACCTATAGGTCCATATTTATTGAATTAGTAAACAATTCTTAGGAAAGGCTTGGTAGATTTCCAACAATAAATATTCATATTACCAGTGTATAAGAAATTTCTCATGACCAATGGAATGTGCACAGAAGAAATTAAAACATTTTTCTAACCTAATTTTGATTTAAAGCATATAGTAAAGTGGCTAAAGGCACAGGCTTTGGGTCAGAGAGACCTCCATTGAACTTCCAGCTACCCTAAAGCACTCAAAAAAATGTGCCAATGTCCCCAAGAAATCAATGTTACAATCCTTTAAACAATTATTTTCACAATTTATGCATGCACAGAAATATCACAGTGAATCTTATTAATCTGGACAATTAGTATGTGTTAATAATAAAAAATAAATTGTTTCCTTTAGCATTAACTTTGAAGATAATTTAGGTCTTTCTAATTATAGAGGAAAACAGACTAAAAATAATGGTTTAAAAGTACTTCCTATAACAAAAACTCAGATGSGGAAAACCCTAGGGACCATTTACTAATTAGAGGACCCTCCCTGCAACTTTATCAATAAAGAAACCCAAGCTTAGGAAGGTGATGTAAYTTCTCCTAGGTCAGATAATGAACAAACAAAGGGCAGGATCTTAGAATTTAAGCCTCCCCATACTTCCTCACATCACAGGAGCCTGACTAAAACCGAAAAAACCTGTGAAGAGGTTAAGGTTCATTAAAGAATCAAAAAAACTCCCAGTAATTTACCTGTTAATTACAGTGTATTTAACTGGAGCATGTTCTTGTTCTTCAACTGCCTCCTCCCACCCATCCCTAATACTCATGCCTCTTAAGGCACACCTATTAATGAAATCAAAGGGATAAAGATCAGAAGAGCTACATTTTATTTTTTAAACTGGACCTCTAATTATCATTATCTTACTGATGCTTAATTAAGAGAAAATGGTCAGTATTCCCAGAGAACAAAAATATAATTGATCATCCCAGAATTTTTTTAGAAGAGCAATGCAATGTGACAATGAGGAACACGGGGTCTGGATTYGAAGGGTTGATGTTATTTTAGACAAGTTATTAGCATCCACTCCCCTGGTACCTCAGTTTCCTTAACTGAAAAAAAGTGGGACCTGCATATCTTGATTGAAGTGGTAGATGATTAAATGGATAATTTCAAAAGAACCCCTGGCATAGTTCCCAGGCACACACTTAATGCTCCACAAAGCTGGTGCTATTTGGATGACCACAGTGATTTGCTACTCTCTTCCAAACCAGAGAGTATATTTCACTGTCTTCTAATATGTTCAGGAAAGCAATCTGAACCCTCCTCCTTCTGCTATCAAAGGTTAATATGAATATTTCCCCTTAAGATAACTATGCTATTCCTTCTTTTTTTCTCCTTTCTTAGATGACAGTATTAAATTATGTTCTAGGAAGAAGAAAATCAAATACCGTAATTATTTGCTTATTTAAAAAAAATAATTGCAAGGGCACTATAAGTGTTTATTAGTAAATGAAAATTTAAGTTAAGTAGATTCATTTTCTATATGTTTATTCYTACCCTGAAAGTCAATAAAATGAATTAAATAGTTTTATTTAAATTTTAAATTACCTTAAATATACATTGAAATTCAACATATATGAAATGCATAAAAACTGATAACTTCAGGATTAGTTTGATGCTGACCTTTGGAAAATTCCCAAATGCCTAATTTAAAATAATCCCTTTAATAGTCTTATAATTTATTCATCTAGAATATATCTTCATCAATGTAACTTTTTTTTTTAATTTTAACTTTTGTTTCTTAATTTTCTTTTTTTTAAACTGTAAAATTATTGTACAGGTAACAATTTCTGCAGGACAAAAAACAATGGTTTTCATTGATTTAAAGACCAGATAAAAGAATTCTCTCTTGCTCTACATGTTGAAATGTTTTCTAGACCTAAATTACCTCCTCATGACACTCTCTCTCCTGAAGTTCTGAAGAGGCTCAAACATCTGTCAAGTCAATTTTTGAAGCTCTATATTACAGAAGGTTAATTTAACCAAGAGAAAAATGACACAAGCCCCAGCATTTCAATCTTAAAAAACTCTGAACTTGGTTATTTCATAACCAAGTGCTATTATCTCTAATGGCCAAGGCATTCTCCAGTAACAATTTAGGTGCCCTGGGAGTCTTATTAACTCTTTCAGGCCATTAAGGTACCATTAAGAGCACTAGGGCCTGGAACCTAATTACAGTGTATCAAATGGTCTCTGTGCTCTCTGAGTGTTAAATGAGCCTGCCAAAGTGACCAATTTTCTCAGAGAGTATAAGGAATTTGGTTTCAAATGTTATTTTGACTTTTTTACTAATTGAAATATGCTCTCTGATACAATGGCTAGTTTTCATTCAGTTATGCTCAAGTTAAACACCATATATATTAAAACAGGACAGTTCTACCAAAGTCTGCACATATCACACACGTTCATTAGGATCAAAGAAGTTATTTCATCATACACTCATACACACAAAATGAAAAAATTCTGACACTTTTTTTTAAGAATCACAGCTTAAATGTGTCTATATTAATATTGTTTAAGAAAAACCATACACACACATATAAAAAGGATACATTTATGTATAAACTGGATTTCTTAAATTTCCATAGAAGAAAAATTTATACTAACCATGCCAAATAATAGTTTCTTTTTTTTTAGGGTACTATAAATATTTAAAATTTCTAAATAGAAATAAAATATATAGAAAAATTTTTTAAATTACTATTTTATACACATGCTCAGAAAATGATAGAATTTTTTAAAAAAAGCTTCCAGATGGCTACCCTTCCTCCATTTTTTTTTTGAGAGAGAGAGAGAGAGAGAGAGAGAGAGAAATTTTTTAAATATTTATTTTTTAGTTTTCAGTGGACACAACATCTTTATTTTATTTTTATGTGGTGCTGAGGATCGAACCCAGGGCCTCACACATGCTAGGCAAACACTCTATACCACTGAGCCACAACCCCAGCACCCCCTACCTCCATTTTTAATTTTTCCCTTTATTTATCTGTCTACCAAAAATGCCATGAATGACAAGTGTTTTAACTCATAATCTTCTGTACAATTTTTCTGTAAAAACTTTTGGAAAATGTACACCACCAACATGAAAAAGAAAGATTAAAAAAAAAAAAAAAAAAGGATAGAATCTAAGAGGGAGTAGAAGTCACCCAGGAAAGCAATGGAAAGAAACCCCAAGATAATTACCCAGCAGATTCAGAAGAGTCTGTCCAAATTTGATGATTTAACAGATGGTATGATAATCTTTATGACTAATATTTACAGAATGATGCTATAAATGATGTTAGTTTTTAATTTTCATATTCAACCATGAAACACAACATGAAAAGCAGTCATACTTAAAGAACATAACTTGAACATTATAAATTCATTTTTTTTTCTTATTGTACTGGGGATTAAACCTTAGGCCTCATACATGCTAGGCAAGCATTCTACCACTGAGCTAGATCCCCAAACATTATAACTCTTGACACGTAGAACAAGAAGTGCAGCTGAGAGAAGTTGGGTCATAAGGGGCAGAGAAGAAAACTACATCTTTCTAGTCATTTCTGAAGTTCTATATTATAGAAGGTAGTTAATTTAACCATGAGAAAAAYATACAAATGAAATCTCAATGTCCTAAGTTCTATACTGCAAAAATCAAGAGTTACTGTTTGTGGTCACTGAACAATAAATACAGCTTGAAGTATAATACTTAGAATTACTAGGATAATAGAGGAAATATGATAACACAATTGAGAAATGTTCAAGAAGTTAAATTCCATGTCTTTTCATAGTAGCAACTAGAGTCAATAAAAAAAAATATATGAAAAAATGGGGGGAAAGGAAAATATATGGATTAAGAAATAGAGGTATAAACACACTGTTTACAAAATAGAAGCAAACACTCAAAAGAACTATGAACATATGGAGAAAAAAGAAGTAAGATGAAGTAGGAGATAGGAAGAAAGAAGAGAAGAAAGAAAAAGAGGGAARAAGGAAGAGAATGAGAGGGAATAAGAGGCAGAGAGGACCTTTTCTATAAGGGTAATCATAGAATATATTTGCTTAGTGAAAAATATGTGTCTGCCTACATCTTTTGCTCTCTCTTTATGATACTATTCAGAAAAAAAACCATATTGAATTGCCCTTTACATTCCATGAAAAGAGAATAAAACACCAAATATATAACTCCCAAATACATAAACTGTATTTTATCTGAGTCCTAAGAATTCCAATGACATTAAGTTCTAAGAATATCAATGATATACTCATTTATTTCATTTTCTGACAAGTTTTAGACTTACCATGAAACTTTGAAGCTTCAGGATCATTTGCATTGATAGCAATTAATTTCCAATCTGTTTCACCTTCATCAATAAGAGCCAAAATTCCAAGGATCTTCACATGAATAACCTCTCCAGGAGATAGAACCTTCAAATGGAACATTTACAAAACTTTGGAGAATTTATCCATATCAGAAAAAACATAGGAAATATTAAAAGCACTATAGACTGAAATTTAATAAAAAATTTCAATAACTAAAAATAATGTAAAAACCATCATAAAGAATATCTTGTAAAGTCCTAAAAGTTAGAACTATGTATCTCAAAACTTTCACTTCCACCCATGATGGAATTATGTGTTAAAAACAAAACAAACTTGTCCTCTCAGAAAACTGGACAAAATATACAAAATCACTCTTCTCAGACACTGAGCAACAGGCAGTGCAGGACTGTGACCCCAGAGTGAAGTAAACAAACCAAACAAACCAGGAGAGGCCTGTGGCTGCCCTGGTTTTCTGCTCAACACACTCTTCAGACCGTGTGTGTGTGTGTGTGTGTGTGTGTGTGTGTATATATAAATAAACCAAGGAAGATGAGTCTGCTGGAATTTGTGGGGCACAGTACTGGAGATGACAATGACCTTCAGAAATCAGAGGGAATCCTTTGAGACAGCTGTAATACTGACCTGTGTATGAAGGAGTTGAGACTCTATGAGACCAATAACTTCCAGAGAACTATATGAGCAGGAGTTCAATGCCCAAGAAAAATGTGTTCAGCACGACCAACATTCACTAGGGGGTCCAGAGGCAAGCCTTAATGATAGAGCTAAACTAGCTCTCCAGTAAAGGTTACTCTAGACCTGACCTAAGAAAGTTGGGTTTGTTTTTTTCTAAATACCCAGAAACAATCAAAATGGTCCATAAGCAAACCATCTGCCAAAACAAATATTCTTTAAAGACAAACAAAATCTATTCAATAACATAACAGTCAAAASAGCCAAAATTCTGCCTATGATTAGGAAAAAGTAAGCCCTAAACAGGGGGGGGGGGAATCACCTGACAGAAATCAATCAAGACATGACAGATGATGGAATTGTCAAACAGAAACTTTAAAACAACTGTTGTAAAAATGCTCATGGAGTCAAAGAAAAATATGAAAATGTGAAGGTGAGGAATGGAAAATATTTAAAAAAAAGGCAAACTCTACCTTAGAGCAGAAAAAAATGCATTATCTGAAATGAGAAGTCCTCTAGATATGTTTAACAACAAAACAAACACTATAAAAGGAGAAAGTTAAAAGGTGTGGGAACAGAAACTTTCCAAGGTGAAGCTCAAGGACAAAAAGGCTAAGAAGAAATTAATTATGTCAATGACCTTCAGGACAACATCAAGCATACTCCCTTATGTATAATTGGAATCCTAGAATAAGAAAGAAGCAGAAAAATATTTGAAGAAAAATGTCCAAAAAGCCCCCCAAATTGGTATAAAGTACAAACGTACAAGAGAGGGAAAGCACTAAAAACAACAATCCCCCCCACAACAAAAAATAACCAAACCAAAACAAAGAAAAGCACTTAATAATCAAATTGCTCAAGACCAGTGACACAGAATAAATATTACAGGATGGGGAAGATCATATATAAGGGTATCAAAAATTCTAAAAAAACGCTACCAATCTAGAATGCCTGGGATCAAAGAGATTTTGCAAAGGGCTAAAAGAAATCTTTCTGAAGTGATGGATTTGTTCTATATTTTGAAGTAGGTTATGTGAATGTTTCATTTGTCCAAAGTCACTTAATTTTATACCTATAGTGGGTACATTTTACCGAATATAAATTATTATTGGTACCAGGGACTGAATTCAGGGGCACCCAACCACTGAGCCACAACCCCAACCCTTTTTATTTTGTTTTTATTTTAAGACAGGGTCTCGCTAAGTTGCTAATGCTGGCTTTGAACTTGTGATTCTCCTGCCTCAGCTTTCTGATCCTCTGGGATTACAGCTGTGGCTACTGTGCTTGGCTACATTATGTATTGATAAAAGTTTAATAATAAAAAATGTAAACAAAAAATATAAGATCTCTTATATTCAAAGAGCCATTAAAAATTACTAAAAAAATCATCACCAAAGACTCAATGAAAAATGTGAAACCATGAAGGCAATTCACAGATAAAAAATGAAAAGCAACCTTTAATGRTATAAAGAGATACTCAAAACTTCCTAAGAACATTTAAGCACTTGGAAATGCCATGGACACATTGGAGCCAGAGAGGTTCATGCCAGAGGAGGGTGGGTCAAAGTCAGTTTGGTTAGGCATAACAACCTGAGTTCTGGGAAGCTTATTTAAAAAAAAAAAAAAAGGTTGAGCTAGGCAGGTGAAGAACTGAATACACAGCTCTACAACCTAGTAGAGAGACAGCTGGTGTAGTTACTACCTCCACACCCAGAGACATTCAGAGGTCATTGTAGTCAAAGCTTGAATGTTTACTATATCTGGCAGAGTCCAAAACTGAAAGACCCAGTAAGAAATCTCTTCATCTCAAATATCTTGGCAACAAGTATTTAGACTCTTTACTATTAATTGTTAATTTTTTAAATTTACTTTTAATTAGTTATACATGACAGTAGAATGTACTTTGATACATCATATATAATTGGAGTATAATTTCTCATTCTTCTGCTTGTACATGATGTAGAATCACACCAGTTTTATAGTTATATTATGTAAATAGGGTAGTACTTAAATGTTTTCAGGAGGGTTTGAGGGAATATCTCGATTGTCTATAGCCCCTTGGCTAAAGCTCCCTGGTAAGGAGGGCAAATTGAGTGGTCTGCAGGAATCATTGCTTTTCTTTGGCTAACAATACATACTTTTCCCTGCCCTTCTCTGGTGCTGCTGAGATGGCTCTGAAAGTTCTGTGATGATTTTTGGCACTTGATTTCACTCTATCTAAAGCAGATTAAACTGTGCCAGATTGTGGTAGGTATCTGTAATTCTAGACTTCCATCAGCTTGCTGAAAAAAAAAAAAAAAAAGAGATGCTCAAGTTCACTCGTAATACAACCACCTTTAGGTTTGAACCAATATTCCCACTTAAGTGTTCCTAGAGTTCTCACACAATATGAAGCTGCCTGATAGCTGGATCCTCCCATCCATATTTTGCTTTCTCAATTTTGGAGGGACTTTCTCTGTCTGTGTCTGCTACATTATGAAGAATGAGAATTTGAAATAAAACCTGTGATTTCATTCTACCAACAAGCCCAGAAATTGTGAAAATTACATTGCACAGTTGAGTGTGTTCTTGTTCTCTTACCAAGAAAATCTATAGGTAAATGAGAATCAAAGACAAATAAGGAGTAAAGTCAGAGAAAGGAGGAGATGAGAGAAACAAAGCAGCCTGTGTTCACAAAGCAATAACTCTCCTGTTGTTTTGAGAAGAAATGAAGTTCTCTGTACAAGTAAAACTCATTCCCTAATGCTACCCAGAAAGGTTCACATGATAGTCAATATTTAAGTTGAAAAGTTAAATAATGTAATTTTACTAAGCACACAATTAATTTAAAAAATCAAAACAAATCACTTTATATAAGTAAAATCATAATTCATATATTTTGAAAATATGGCATGAAGGAAGTAGACAATTTAAACCTGTTACTCATTTGATGCTGAAATTTAGGTTATTTATACATATTAAAATTTAAGATATCTACTAGGCCCACAAACTCACACTAAATAAAATATAAACTCACATACATACATCATCAAATAATCTGAACATGGCTCCAGCTGCTTGGGAGGGAGAGTGTACTCAAAATCCTTTTAAATTGCTTCATAATACTTTTTTTTTTTTCCAAACAACATTAATCAACTACTAGTGAAAAGCAAAACATTAAAATGAATAACAACAAAAATTATTAATGTTAAAGATATAAACAACACTTTTTATGAGATATTTTTAAAATATTTTATATAAAAAAAATCTTAAACAGAGCAAGACGTGGAAGCAGATGTTCCATATGCTTAAGAAAATCATTTTGGCCAGGTGAAGTGGCTCACACCTGTAATCTCAGTGGCTCAGGAGGCTGAGGCAGGAGGATCACGAGTTCAAAGCCAGCCTCAGCAACTATGGAGGCACTAAGCAATGTGGCGAAAACCTGTCTCTAAATAAAATATAAAAAAAAAGGGCTGAGAATGTGGCTCAGTGGTAAAGCATCCCTGGAAGAAGAATGTATTTCAGTGACTCCCTCGAGTTGCCAATGCCTGCATTTTTTCTATATCCTTTTTTTTTTTAAGAGAGAGAGAGAGAGAGAGAGAGAGAGAGAGAGAATTTTTTAATATTTATTTTTTAGTTTTTTGGTGGACACAACATCTTTATTTTTATTTTTATGTGGTGCTGAGGATCAAACCCAAGCCTGCGCATGCCAGGCGAGCACGTTACCACTTGAGCCACATCCCCAGGCCCTATCCTTTTAATTTTAAAGATTTAGTTAGCTATCAAATTTCACTGTAAGGCTGAAATTTGAACACATGCTTCAGAATAAATTTCGTCATGATTCAAAATGCAGCTTTACATTTAGAAAATAAGGTATTCATAAAAAAGTCACTCTGTGTTCTGAAATTATTTGAGAAAAAAATGATTTAAAAATATTAAGTCAAATAAATGCTTTCAGAATATATACAAAATGATCCTAAAATCTTGAACCAAATGTGCATGAAGCTGTAAGTAATTTACAGAACAGATTAATGTGATTATATAAATAAATGGAAATCTCAATTTTAGGAGTAGATATATAGTTATATCAACCAGACTCTCACATGTTTAGCTTCTGTTAAGTACACAGAAATATGCTAGGCACTGTATATAAAAAAGAATGAATTCCTCTTCCTAAAGATTTGCTATTTTATTTTGAGAAACCAGCCTCTACCTCAGAGCAAAGCCTGTCCAAGGAAGGGAGCATGACTCTTGTCCTTGGAAAAACCCACAGAGCACTCCTAGGCACATACCCACCTTGCTGAGTTGTTTATCTATAAATAACAGGAGAGATCTACAGCACAAGGTGTCCCTGACTCAGTCAGGCTAGGTGAGGACCCATAGCAACCCCCAATCAGCATGAGAAAGAAAAAATAACTGGGATGCCAGATGACCCT